GCTCTTAAACAACCAATGGGTCAAACAGTAATTAGAAAATTCTTTGAGATGAATGAAAACAAAGACACAATACCAAAAATTATGAGATGTAGCTAAAGCAGTTGCTTTTAGGGAACTTTATAGCTGCAAATGCCTATTAAAAATGAAGCTCTCAATCCAATAACCTAACATTCCACCTAAATAAAATGGAAAAATAGCAAACTAAACCCCAAAAAAGGAAATAATAAGGACTATACAGAGATTAATTAAACAGAGAACAGAAAACCAATATAGGAAATCAACAAAAGCAAATGTTGGTTTCTTGAAAGAACACTAAAATTGACAAATCTTTAGGGAGACTGACCAAGAAGAGAGAGGACTCGAATTACTAAAATCAGAATAAAAGAGGGGATATTACCATGGGTGCTGCAGAAATTCTGAAACCCATTTAAAAGAAACAGAAAGCCTTAGAAGACTTATAACAAATAAAAAGACTAAATCAATAATCAAAACCTCCTACAAAAATAACCCTGGGATCGAATGGCTTCAAGGGTAAACTCTATGAAACATTTAAAGAAGAATTAACATCAGTCCTTTAAAAACTCTTCCAAAAAATCGAAGTGAAAGGAACACTTCCCAATTCAGTCTATAAGTCCAGTATTACCACCATTATCAACATTAGCAACATCATAAGAAATGAAATCTATGGACCAGTATCTCTTATGAATATAGCTGCACAAATACTCAACAAAATACTAGCAAACTGATTCTAGAAGCATATAAAAAGGATCATAAACCACGGCTAAATGCGATTTACCACAGGAACACAATGAATGTAAAAGAATAAAAAACAAAAAATCATGTTGTCATCTCAATAAACAAAGAAAAAAACATTTGGTAAAATACAGTACCTTCTCATGATAAAAGTCAATGAACTAGGAGCAGAAGAGAATTTCTCCAACCTAATGAAGATTATCTACAAAAAACCCACACTTAACATCATACTTAGTGAGGAAAGACTGAATGGTATCTCTCTAAGATCATGAACAACACAGGAATGTCCACTTTTGCCACTTCCACACTGCACTGGAGATTCTAATCAGGGCAGTTAGACAAGAAAAAGAAATAAATGGCACCCAGTTTAAAGGAATAAGGAAAACTGTCTCTATTTGCAGGTAACATGATCTTGTGTATAGAAAATCCTGAGAAATTTGCAAAAAAATTACAACAAATAAATGAGTTCAGCAAGGTTAAAGGATACAAGATTAATGCATAAAAATCAGGTGTATTTCGGGGCGCTTGGGTGGCTCAGTTAAGTGTCTGCCTTCAGCTCAGGTCATGATCCCAGGGTCCTGGGATCGAGCCCTGCATCCGGGTCCTTGCTCAGCAGGGAACTGCTTCTTCCTCTCCTCCCCGCTCATGCTCTCTCTCAAATAATAAAAAAAAATCTTTAAAAAAATAAATCAGGTGTATTTCTATACACTTGTAATGAACAATGTGAAAAGGAAATTAGGAAAATTTAAATACTTAGGAATAAATCTGATAAAAAAAGCATACGACTTGTACACTGAAAATCACAAATATTATTGAAGGAAATTAAGGAAGAATAAGCTATAAAGTGTTAGAGAGTTATGGATCAGAGTAGGACTATTTTATCCCCAGAACACTGAAGAGATTTAGGATTTTGAAGCAAGGAGCTAAAAACTGGAGGTGGGGGTATAATTATGCATCTGGAGCAAGTTAATCTATACCTTCTCCCTCTTCATCTTTTTTTTTTTTTTTAAAGATTTTTATCCATCTATTCATGAAAGACAGAGAGAGAGAGAGAGAGAGGCAGAGGGAGAAGCAGGCTCCCAAGGAGCAGGGAGCCCGACGCGGGACTCGATCCCAGGACCCTGGGATCACGATCCGAGCCAAAGGCAGACGCCCAACCATCTGAGCCACCCAGGCGCCCTCCCTCTTCATCTTGTTAGAGAACAGACTCAGCAGGGGGGATATCTGAAAACTCTTCTCTGGAAAATTTAACGGCTCCCCCCAAAAATATTTTATGCCAACTTTTTGGCTCCTCCAACAAAACAGCTGTCTCCTTGCCCATCTCATAAAATAAAGCTCGGCCAGTTGCCAAGACCTGCTCAAGTACACGGGGCTTCCAACCAGTTTTAACACTTAAGTAGGGATGTACAGCCAGGATCAGTACATAAAAGAAAAAAATCCTCTAACATAAAAGGGAAAACACAAACATACCATAAACAGAAAAAGTAACCCAGAGGAAAGCAGAGGTAATTCAGCTATAGATAAAACCGAAAAAAAACCCCAAAACCATATTTACTATTCTTGGAGATACATGAAATATAGCCCCATAAACAAACAGAAAAAAACTGGAAAATAAGATTACTCATGGTAAAACACTGATGGAAGAGAAAATAAAGAACTCAATGTAATTAAAGAGTAGAATAAAAAGATAAAGGAATAGACAACATGATTAAAAGAGAGAGAGAGAGACATTGAGAAGATGAATCCAGGATACTCAATATTCAGCCAACAGAGATTCTAGAAAAAGTGAACAGAGAGAACATGGAGAAATCATCCAAGAAATAATAATTTTCCAGGATTGAGGGACAATGAATCTCTAGTCTGAAGAGCCCACTGATCATCAGCACAATGAATAAAAAAAGATGTACATGAAGGCACATCATTATTAAATTTCAAAATACTGAAAAACAACAAAATGAAAGAAACAAAAGACACTGAATTTATGTGAAAGAAAAATAAGGTCACGTATGAAAGAACAAAGATTACAAAGGCACTGGCCTCAACAGAACTGGATTCAAGGTAACATCTTTTGAGTTTTACGATCTCGAATTTCTATTCTTGGTTAAGCAATCAAATACAGGACAGTAAATATACATCTTCAAATACAAAGATAAATAAATTATATCTCATACACCATTTCTTGTGATGTTACAAGAGGCTATTTCCAGCATAACAAGGTTGCTGTCAACAACAAAGGGAAACACTCCCATGTTAACAGCGGGGCAGCCAGAATGGAGAGCATCTTGTCCTCAGTGAAGCAGGAAGATCTATGGTTCTGAGACAGAGGTCTCCAAGAAAATAAACACAACTTACTGGATGAGTCTTTGGTTTAAAATAAAATTATACAAATAAACATATAAAATTAAGGTAAAGACAGGAAGAAAAAAGGAACTCCATCAATTGCTGGATGGAAGGAGAGGGAGAAGCTGTTCAAGAAAGTAAAATTCAATAAACTGAAACTAGACTTATCTTTATATTGGGAAGAGAGTCAGGAAGTCAACAGGTGAGCCTACACTGGATAAAGCAAGAAACTGCAGAATGATGACATTAAGAAATATGGAAGACCACCGAAATAAATAGCAACAAACATGAAAAGCAACTGTTTCTGGTAAGTAGGCCAAAGGTGGGGTACAGCAATATAGGCACTTAATTTTTTTTTTTTAATTTATTTATTTAACACAGAGAGATACAGCGAGAGAGGGAACACAAGCAGGGGGAGTGGGAGAGGGAGAAGCAGGCTTCCCGCCGAGTAGGGAGCCCGATGTGGGGCTTGATCCCAGGACCCTGAGATCAGGACCTGAGCCGAAGGCCGACGCTTAACGACTGAGCCACCCAGGCACCTCGGCAGTTAATTTTTCTATTACATATCTTTAAGAGCTACTTGATTAAAGTACTGTACATGTATTAACTTGATAAAAATGAGAAACAAAATACTTTAAAATACTTAGGTCACAGTGAGATTTTCTTAGCTATTTAACCAGTATTTGTCTGAATTTAGTGACTTACAGTGCCTACAATGGAATCCAAGGCCTTACCCTGAAGGGACTATAAATAGCACATGCTTATTACTCTCTCAACCAATCCATAAGAATTTCAGCAATAAGATTACTCACTGCAAATTAAACCTCAAAACATACTAGATGTTTTGAGAAACTCTCAAATTCATCTAAAAGAGATGGAATGACATTAGGCTAAGATTAACTCAGAACAGCTTAATGGCATTAATATACCTAAAGAAATACTGTTAATCAAAAGGGGGCTTGGTCAGCAATAGAAGCACAGAAAGGGGTTATAAAGACAATGCTGGCTATGTATATTAGTCCTTATAACAAGTCTATGACATCATCTAACTCCTTGATGGGATTCCATTCTTATCAAGCACACTTCTGACATCCTTATTTAATTTTCCATATAAATATGCAAATAGGGAAAGAATGCAAAGATCATAAAATGAATGTTTGGCTAATTTAATGGTTATACTTCTCATCAGTATTATTTTTATTTTATATGTAAACCTTTGTGACTTTAATTAATGCTGCCTGCTCAGGAAGATTAATTGCTGTTGATGTACTATCAAAAATCAGGTTAATGACCTACACAAAATTCACAAAGGGATGGCCACACTGAGGGGTTTTAGGAGCCAGCAGGTCTCCCTCTTTTCTTTATACTAAAATAGGTAAAAAAACAAAGAAAAACACTCTTCAGATAAACAATTGTACAAGAAAATACAAAGCTAATGCTGATTTTTTGCCACAACTCCTAACACTTGCATTTATTTATTTTTTAAAAATGATTTTATTTATATATTTGGCAGAGAGAGAGCACAAGTAGGCAGAGAGGCAGGCAGAAGGAGAGGGAGAAGCAGGCTCTCCACTGAGCAGGGAGCCTGATGCCAGGGCTCCATCCCAGGACCCTGGGATCATGACCTGAGCCGAAGGCAGCTGCTTAACGACTGAGCCACCCAGGCATAACACTTGCATTTAACAAACATTTCTGGACTAAAGAGTTTGGAGAAGCAACTGCCACCAGGCAGCAAGCCAACAGGGCTACAGCACTATTTCAAGACAGCTGTGGAGTCACTGAGTTTTTCAGTATCTTCTGCTTGTTCATTTCTACTGGCATAATCAAAAATTATTTGGGAACAAAAATAATAATCTGTCCCACCCTACTCTTTGATGCTGTTTAAACAGCAAAGAGAGAAAACTTACATGGCACTGTAGTTCCAAATCTAGTGGGATTCAACACTATGAACCTGTTTTTCAAGCTTCTTCGTCCCACACCTTGAGCTCCTATCAATACCAATGTTTTTCTCTGGAAAGGAGGCATTTTGGCTACCTCCTCGTATATTTGGATTTCATGACGATCAAATTCTAAATGTAAAAGGAAATGGAAAGTGGTCATATTCAGTTATCTTTCAGATGGATGAAAAACCTCTGCAATTCTGTTCAATAAGGGCTTGGTTGTCTGACAGGTAAATACCACCTGAATTGTACTCACTTACTATAGATTCGCTTTTATAAATTTGGTGAAGTACAATAAACAATAAACTATTTTTTATCTTGATTTAAACATCTGCTTCCATCCATTTTCCCTTAAAAATTTGTCTAAGCTAGAAAATGCCTGTGCTTTATCATATAGTCTATCCATTAAAACCTTTCTTACCAATTCATCAGTAGAAATAATTACTTTAACATATATAATCAAACTGCAAATTACCTTATGTAATTTGTTCAGCCAACTAGTGTGTATCAGATATAAAAGACAGTAGTATACCTAATGTGGCTGCTTAAATAAGTCCCAGAGAATGAGTATGCCCTTTCAATAATATAAATGAGTAAATACTGTGTGTTGACTCAGCAAATACCAGTTTAATAAAATGCATACAAACATACTGACAATTAAATTTTAAGATGAATTTATGTATAAAATGTTGGAACCATACTACTTTCAGTCAAAACACATTCCAAAATTAAATCTTAGTCAATGAGAAAATTATAAGTTTTCTATTTTTCAAGAAAGCTGTACGGACATATATTTAATGAATAATAAGGTCAAAGGGGATTTGAAATAGTATATTACCTGTTATTAGGGTTATAACTCTAAATCTGCAGTAATAACACTCCTTCCTTAGGTTATTATCTGAACAGCAACTCTTTCTTTGCATAATTTCTCCAAAGAAGATTAAACCAATATTAAGGGAGAGTCTATTTTTCCCTTATTTTTTATTATTATTATTAAATATTATTTCCCTTATAGTATGTTATTTAGTTTATAACCAGTACAGAGGCAGCTCTGAAGTCTAGAAAGTACTTTAAAATTGTCAATTCCTTTCAGAAGGCCTTCTCAAAGAGCTGCATTTCATGCCTATCAGCCTCTAGGACTGAATAACTATGGTAGCTGTCATATTTATCTTTCTTTAAGTCTAAAAGATTTAAGACAGAATCCTACTAGAACAGACTAAGATTTGTTTGGTCCAGTACTATTTTCCCAAAAGTATCATGGACAATGTTAAGGTAGAATATAGTTGTCCTTAATCATAACTCTTTTAGTATCTTCTTAAAGGCACTTCTTTAGAAATGATACACAAATTGTCATCAAAGTTCTCTGAATATTTTTAATAACATTGTTCTTTCATTAATATAAGCATAAATCCTAACCAATCATTTTATTGCAAACTATACTAATAAATAAAACACTCTGGTGACAGTATGAGTACATACAATATCAAAATTAAAATAATGTCTTCATATTATACTGTACCATGTGTTCAAGTGTCAGCCCCTTACAATTGGGTATTAATATGAATTACTTTCATTTAAAATTATATATTTAGAGTTTATGCCACATTAATTAATGATATAAAGCTACCTCACTTGGACTTTTCAAAAAGTATTTAAAACATACCTGCATTTCTGGTTGTGAGATACATCATCTTTTTCTTTTTTTTGCTACTTATGGTTCCACAAAAAGGTCCTGAAGGGTGACAAGACAAATGTAAGTTAAAACAGTATGTCAGAATATGATAAAAACTGCCCTGTGGTATTGTATAGGGGTGGGAGAATTACCTTTCCAGTGTTGTGTCCTACAAAGCAGAAGGGGGCAGAAGTGAGTTGAGCCACTAAATTCTGATACTATACCAGCAGGTGGCAGACAGGGATCAAAAAGTTTACTTTTGAGAGTGATACAACAAAGTAGATGGGATGGATTAATTTTAGATATAGTTTAAATAAATTCATTTGCTGATTCGATGAAAGAGGAAAAGAAAGGTGACCACAAAGGACTACTAGTTACACATTGTGTTGAGCTCATCACCTGAATTGTCCCAGTCTCTTCTAACAAATGCCTTTCTCTTCTCTTCCAGGAACTGGCTTGGGATGAGACCAGCGCTTCCTCCCTCTTTTACATGGCTAGCCTAGAATCAAATTAATGAATTATATATCTCAGTGATCAAAATTTGAGACCTTATCCTAATAAGTAGGACAATAGCAATAGTCAGTAGAAATAGATCACATTTGCTCTTCAAAACTGACCTTGAGATTTCAATTCATGGCGTCATCAGTTAAGATATTTAAACACTTTAGCACTAAGGAATCAATTGGTACCTAATCAATCTGCCATCTGGAATCAAAATTTTGGGACCAAAACGCAAAGGTATATAGGATCTTTAAATTACCTCAACTTTTTATTTATAATGCTAAGTAAGTCAACAAAAAGGATAAATACTATTTTATGTGTTAAAAGAACATTAGCACCCTTAGTAAGGTATTTACTATCAACCTTAATCCTACTAGAGAGACAGAATCTGAATATCCTAAGTTTAAAATAGGTATAACTACATCTACTGTCAAGAAACTAAGTTTTGAAATCCAAAAAAGTGCTATTTCAAAATAGTGGCTAAAGAACTGGCTGCTAGTGGCTTATCCAACAAAGTTACGGTTTTTTATATTTACAGCTAGCACTGAAAAAATCTGGTATCATTTTTAGCCATTAAAATCCTAAAAAATAGAATTAAAGTAACAGATCACCAAATGCAGGAGGAGACTGAAATAATGGTGACAGGATGAGCAGATGACATTCACAGAAAGGGGTAAAAAAAAAAAAATTTCCTGGAAAAGTTCAATGAAGGAAACAGCCACAGAAAGAGTTTTTTGATGAGAGTTCTAGGAAATTCAGTGGAAACATCTGGAGATCATGGATTCTTTTTAATTCACCTATGTTTTAGTTCTCTCACTGCATAATGCACTTGTACATAATAATGTCTTAATTTAAATTTAAGGATACATTAGGACGGTTCTTATCCTTGTTATTCATTCCCCCCTTAGAAGCCAATATAACTTAAGAGAGCTAATGTGAGTTACTAGTATCTCCATTTAATTTAGAGTTTAGTGCTAGGTCCTGGGTCCTTTCCTCATACACCTTTAAAAAAATTTTTTTATTGTTATGTTAATCACCATACATTACATCATTAGTTTTTGATGTAGTTTTCCATGATTCATTGTTTTTGCATAACACCCAGTGCTCCACGTAGAACGTGCCCTCTTTAATACCCATCACCAGGCTAACCCATCCTCCCACCCCCTCCCCTCTAGAACCCTCAGTTTGTTTTTCAGAGTCCATTGTCTCTCATGGTTCATCTTCCCCTCCGATTTATCCCCCTTCACTCTTCCCCTCCTGCTTTTTTTTTTTTTTTAACATATATTGTATTATTTGTTTCAGAGGTACAGATCTGTGATTCAAGAGTCTTGCACAATTCACCAAATGCTCACCATAGCACATACCCTCCCCAATGTCTATCACCCAGCCACCCAATCCCTCCCACCCCCCACCATACACCTTGCTTTTTAATGAGACTCTTCTGACGGTTTAAGGGATTTTAGACTTTCCGATTTGTCAGTTTCTCCAGCTCTGAATACTGTATTACACAGTGTAAACAATTACAAAATCAGACTTAATTCTGCTGCTAGAGAGTTCTGAAGGCTGTATTAGGGGAAAGGAAAAAGAATACAATTGCAGAGATATTTAGAAAATGAAGTGGGGGAAAATATGGTGATAACACACATCCCTTTCCATATACGCAGATTTCAATCCAAGAACAACTACACTAATCATAAACCTTCATTTCTCAGTAACTGAGGAGAGGTAGGTAAACAGATTGAAGAGCTTATGAAATTATGTTTTATTTGCCATGAATGTACATAGAGGGAGAGGAGACAAGAGAGAAAGACACTACTACACACACAGTAAAAGACTTCTAGTTAAACAACAACAAACACTGAGAAGGGACGACCCCAAGTGAGTTGTTCTTGCCCAACACCATATTGTACTACAGTCACTCATGTGGAAGAACCAACTGTTCTAATCCCTAAACCAATGGAATACCTCCAGAGGCTAGTTAATTCTGCATTTATTAACAGCTACTCACAAATTCCCTCTCAATTTGATCTCCTGTCCACAAAATTAGCAGCCATGAAGCAGGAGCTGTTCATGCACGAAAAATCACTGGAACAAATGTTAATACCTTCTACCTGAATATTCAGATATTGGCCAGATCTAAGATTGAAAATAAAAAAGCAGTTGAGGAAATTATGAGAAGCATACTAACCTGCCACCAGTTTGGATCTTCTCTGTTCACAATTTGAAGAATTTCTCCTTTTGAAAACTTCAATCCTGCTTCTTTGCAGGGTATCAGGTTATCATTGTATGGATTATAATCAAAATGACATTTCACAAACACCTAAAACACATAGCACAATTTAAAGTAGTATAGATGTATCATTTGTCACTAGATTTTTGAAATCTTTTTAAAATCACTGTGATTTAATTATAATTGACAATTTATTTAGTACTTCAACTAAGGACATTGTCCCACTCAAATAAAAATCAATTATTACACATTAATAATTTGGCATCAGAAAAGAAAATAAATATTAGTACAATTAAAATTTTGTTTCTATTTTAAAGTCTAATCTTAAACCAACAGTTTAACAATCATTTTACTCCATCATTCTTATACTTTCCCCCATCTTTTCACATGATTTTCTAACTAATGCTGCATAATTTTTATTCAATTAAATGCCACTTTCTGATTAATACTCAGCTGATTGAAGACATATATTTCAGATATAATAGGACTTTTTTTGGGAGGGTACTTTTTGAAAGAGCCCAGAAACCAAAATTAAACAAAGAAAGTTCATGTTCAAGTCAGATCTGAAATATATTTAGTAAAAAAAAAAAATAAATAAATAAATTAATTAATTAAAAACCCAATTTTCATCACTGGTAATATATTTTTTATGATCACACAGATTTACACCGACAAAAACTTGTGTGGAAAACACTTTTCTGAAATCATCTTGCTCTGACTTAAATAATTAACATTAAATTAACTGTAAGAAAAACACTGAAAAGGCCTTGAAAGTATTTTTCAATTTAAATTCACCAGACTACACAAATTTCTTTTAAATATGTTTTATTAATAAAAGTATTCCAGTTACCACTATTAGTTATCTCCAATAACTGGAATATTTTCCTTATTCACTTTAATGTAAATCCTAATAAGTTAAGCATTTTCAGTTTTTGAAGGCAAGTTCAGATTACTGTCTTAAAAGTTTTTTCATGCATATTTATAAAAACTCAAATTTTATCAACTGAAGAATTGATTTGGCATTAATCAGCAGGTAAACTTTAACAAGCAGAAAAGCACAAAATTAGTCAAAATAACATTGTTATCATATTTGTTATACTTCTATAAATGTAACCAAAGAAGATATTCAAGTAACACAAGCAGATACATAACATCATTAGTGTTGTAAAATGTAATGTGATGGATGCATATTAAAATAATTTAAAAAAAACTAAGTTTGGGAACATGTGACAAAATTTTAGTTATTTACAATTAGATGATTTTGGTAGAAAGCATTTGGGATGTTTTCAATAACTTTGGAAAGGCTAACTATTATTTAAAAAATCAGTAAGCCAAAATTTTTTTGATATACAATTTTAGAAATATCTAAAAAGCAAGCATACAAACAATATTAAGATTGCTAAAATGTGACAACTGGCTAACTTGAAAATGGCATGCAGCTCAATGTTTTGGCAATGGAAAAAGAAAACCCAAATTATTATTTATTCAAGGTAACTTTAGTTGGCTGATAAGACAGAAAAACAGAATACCAGAGAATGTCCTGGAATGACATCATACCTGACAGACGTGTGCTGGATGCCTCTCCATACTGATGCAACTCTAAAAATATATTTTTCATTGCATAAATAAAGCCAGACTTTTAAACTGATAATAAATTAACAAAATATAAACAAACTACTGGCCCATTTTATTACTTCACTCATTTGGTAAAGTAATTACTCTCCCCTCATTAATTGTCCATAGGGTATAACAACTGAAAATTATAAATGATAGAAGCAAAATGGTAGAGGTGTTTGAGATGAGGCAGAGAAAAAGGATGGGTATGCAAAGTTTAAAAAAAAATACTTGGATACTCCTTACTTCTCAAGAAAGCTGCACCAAATGAATAGTAAAAGCATCCTGTCATCTAACCAGGAATGTGTTTATCATTTTTATCTGTGGGACAACATACATTTTTGTATCCATAAGTTGAGATTTTCTGAGACAGTCTAAATTTCAAATAATTATTCCCCTATTCCCATCAAATTGTTTTGGAAATGTCATTATTTGTGAAACAAAACACATCTCTCAAATGTAAAACATTTCTAGAGGGAACAATTCTTATTATTTCATTTATTAAACTAATTTGTGAACATTACTCTCATGCTCAAAAATTCAGATTAGCCTGGTTTTACTTTGACTTTTAAAATTCTGTCTGAAAAATCAATTAACCCAACCTTTGATCTAAAGATTTTGTAATGACCTTAAAGTCATTAGACATTTCACCAGATTAAGTATAATTATATTTTATTTTACTAAGTATATTGTAAAGTGTTTTACTAATAGACTATGGATGTTAACGGTTCATTCAGTATTAAGAAGTTATTAAACACAACCTACTAAAGTATTTCAATCTCCTATTCTTATCACTAAAAGAAAAAACTGACCGACAATCTAAAGTAGATGGAACAGAGAACGGGAAGTACAAATGGCTTTTAAACACAAGAGATATTCAACATCACTCAGAATAGAAATATGAATTAAAACTATATTATAACAATATTTTCTTCCTGCCGCATTAGGAGAAATCCAAATATCTGATAACATTCTATAGACGGGACTATGAGCCAAGAGGCATTTTCCTAACAGGCTAGTGGAGGCACTGGTTCAATCCCTTGGGAGAACAATTTGACAATAGCTATCAAAATTACAAATGCAAAAATCTTCTCACCTACTAATCTACCTCTGGGAATGTATTAAACAGCAATGTTGCTCAGACATATGCAAAATGATTTATGTACAAGACTATTAACTACTAAATTAGTCCTAGTAGCAAAAGATTGGAAGCAACCTAATAGTTTAATAATAGGGAACTGGTTAAATAAATGATAAGTCTATATAATATAATACTATGCAGCTATTAAAAAGGGTGGGGAGGTGGTGATATGTGTCAAGAGGCAGTCTATGTACCAACAAGGAAAGATCCTAAAGATACACATTTAAGTGAAAAAAACCAAGCACTGTATATGCTATGTAAGCTTTTCACTGAAAAGGAGGTGGAACAGGAATAATAATATATAATTTTTACTTACTTGCATATGAATAAAGAAACTCTAGAAAGATAAATTAACAGAATGGTTTCTTATAGGGAGTGAGCACTAGGTTTGTAGTGGATTATGAAAGAAATTTCAATTGAATACCTATTTATATCTCTCGAATTTTGAACCATGGGAATGATTCACCTATTTAAAAATTAAATTCTCATGGTAATAAATATAAAATAAAATGACTCATGCTTCTGACTAAGATGAATCAATAAAGAACTCTCCAACTTGAAACAACTAAAATACTGGACAAAATTTGACAAAACGTTTTTTAAGACATCAGGTAATGAAGTCAGTGATCCCTAAAAAATGGAAACAAACAAGATAAACTATTCAGTTGCCCCTGATAACTGCACTGAGAAAGTTCCCAGGTTGCAACTCAGGAAGGAAGAATCTCAGTAGAGCCTGTGTGGTCTCCAAGTTGAGGAGATGAGCTGGGCGACCAGGGAGATCAAGGTGGCTGCAGTGTACAGAACAGAGTAATCAGTGAGGAAAGGGCTGCACACTCAAGAGTTGCAGAACACTCCCTCTAGTTTTCAGGAGACTACTGATCAGTGCATGGGTATGAGGAAACTAAGTCAGGTAAAGAACCAGCATGATAAGCAGCAGTATCAGCAGGTCATACGGGGTCAGGAATAATTTCTTTTCTCAACAAGGTGAGTGGAAAAATCTCGTAATTCATGAGGCACTGAGTAGTTGGAAGGATTATGCCCCAAACTTAATCCCGCTCTGATTGTACCTAACAAAGCTTAAAAAGCAAGTTCTGAAATGATCAAACCGCCCCAAGTAACTTCAGTAGCCTAGAACAAAGTCTAAGAATTTTCCAAGAATACAAAAATATCAAGCATTCAACAAGGTAAAATTCATAATGTCTAACAACAACCAATCAAAAATAACCAGGCATGCAAATAAGCAGGAAAATATAATTTAAAATGTGGAGAAAAATCAATTAAGAGTGATTCAGAAATGATAAACATGATCAAACTAGTAGAGAAGGACATTAAAATAGTTACTTTAACTTTACATATTGTATTCTTAGGTTCAAGAAGCTAGAGGAAGGCCTAGGCATATTAGGTAGAAACATGGCAGATATAAAAAAAAAAAAGACTCCTGGGTGGCTCAGTTGGTTAAGCAACTGCCTTCGGCTCAGGTCATGATCCCGGAGTCCTGGGATCGAGTCCCACATTGGGCTCCTGGCTCGGCGGGGAGGCTGCTTCTCCCTCTGACCTTCTCCCCTCTCATGCTGTTTCTCTCTCTCGCTCTCTCAAATAAATAAAATCTTTAAAAAAAAAAAAAAAAAGACTCAATTTATATTTCTAGAGATGAAAACCAAAATATCTAAGATGGAAGAAGAAGTGACTAACAGATTAGACATTGAAGAAAATAAACTTGAAGATATAGCAATAGAAACTAAGATAAAAAACAGGGAAGTAACAAGATTGAAATAAATGAAGAGTATCACAGAGCAATGGGACAACTTCAAGGAGCCTAATATATGTGGAAATGATGTCACCAAAGGACAGAAGAAATGGGAAAAGAAAAATAACCTGAAGAGGTAATAGTCAAAATGTTTCCAAATTTGATGAAAGAATGCAACCCCCCATTCATCCATATCTTAAACCTATACAGAAACTCATACACTAAACGGATCCTAGAGCTAGGTGTAAAGCATAAAACTGTACAACTTTTAGGAAAAAGAAATCGAAGAATATCTTTATGACCTTAGATTATACAAAAATATTTTACACAGAACAATACAAGCATGATCTGTAAAAGAAAAACATGGAAAAGTTGGACTTTATCAAAATTAAGAACTTCTGCTCTTTGTATTACACTGTTAACAGAATGAAAAGACAAGCCTTTTCACTGTGAGAAAATCCTTATAAATCATAATTCTGATTTGTATTTGTATTCAAAATACATAAAGAACTTTCAAAACTAAATAAAAAATCTCAATAAAAAATGGATAAGATCTGAAGACAATCACCAAAACAGACATAAAAAAAA